TCTCTCTCTCTCTCTCTTACTTTTTTGGTACCGGGGATTGAACTCCGGTCCTTGGTGGGGAGAAGGGGGCGGAAAAACACACACACACACACACTCACTCACTCACTCACTCACTCACACTTACTTTTTTGGTACCGGGGATTGAACTCCGGTCCTTGCGCTTGCAAGGCAGGCCGCCAAACTGCTGAGCTAAATTCCCGGCCCTCTTTTTTTTTTTTTTTTGAAGACAAGGTCATATTACATTGTTCAATGAGCACTCGGGCATTCACCTTGAATTTTGTATGAAGCCCAGGCTAGCCTCGGACTCACGGTGATTTCTCCTGTCTCAGCCTCCCGAGTGCTGGTGTCACAGGCACACAGTGCTATCTATATCTGGCTAAAACTGTATGTTAAATGTCTCCCAGGCCTGGTGATAGGGATGCAGCCTCTGCGGTCCCCCAGGACATGCCCAGCCTGCTAGGTGCCACCCCCGCAACAGGTCCACAGCTCTCATTCATTTCCTAGGTATTTACTGGCTGTTCAGTTAGGAGAAGTCTTGGGACCGCTTTAGCACGTTTTCTCAGTGTTATGATTGTTAGCTGAGGCAGGTGAGGCCTCCACCATGGATAGTGGTGGGGCCGTGAATGGCTGAGTACTTGCCGTGCCCATCTCCTTTGAGCGCTGTCCTGCCTGGGGCAGTCACGGCCACGGCCCTGGCCCTGGCCCTGGCCCCACATTCAGGTGACTCCCCAACCATCCTGCTGCCTGTTTCATGAGGGCTGTGCTGGAGGGGGTTCCCTGACATGCTTTTTCAGTGGATTGTGTGGTTTTCAGATTAGTTCACCCTGAGTTGTGGAGCTGTTCTAAGAACTTCAAATAAGAAGTAAGCTATTTGTAGGGCTGGGAATTTAGCTCAGTTGTGCCGCCACCTGCCTCTCTCTCTCTCACACACACACACACAAAAGAAGAAAAGAAAAGAAATAAGCTATTTGTAGCTATTTATTACAGAAAAAATTTGTTTTTAAGGAACCTAGAAAATTGTTTCCTGGTTCTACTTTGTAACCCCTGACAGAATGGGTTTGTAGATACCACAGAGTAACTGCAAACTGGGCAATGTGATTTTGGGTTTGTTTTTTGTGTTTTTTTTTGCGGGGTGGCTAGAGACAGGGTTTTACTATGTAATTCAGACTGCCCTTGAACTCTTTGCAGCCCAGTTTGGCCTCAAACTTGCAGCAGTTCTGCTGCCTCAGTTTCCCAAGTGATGAGATTATAGGCATGTACCACCACAGCTAGCTGCAGGGCAATGAGTATTTACAAGTACCTGCTTGAGCAGTGTTGGTTAGCTTCACGCCAGGGTTTGTAAACAGTACAGAAGTTTCCAGGACTTATCGGTTCTTAGTTTCTCATGTGTTGTGTGAAATTTCATAAAAATTACCTTTTCAAGCAGGGCGTGGTAGTGCACACCTGTCATCCCAGCACTCGGGAGGCTGAGGCAGGAGGAGCACTGTGAATTCGAGACCAGCCTGGGCTACATAGTGAGTTCCAGGTCAGGCTCAACTACATAGTGAGACCCTGTCTCCAAAAAAATAAAATTACCTTTTTATACTGGGAAAAAATATTCCATGGTTGAGCACCCCTTCTCCAAGAAACTGAAATCTGAAACTGTGCTCCCCAGCATTGCAGATAGAGGAAACAGCCTGCCGTGCAGACATGTTTGTGGGGAAGCCTTCTGGTTTCACAGAGGGGAAGTGGCCTCGGGTAGACATTCATTGACAGAAGGGTGATTTTTGTCCTGCTGCCGCAGCTTCAGCACAGTGTTGTTAAGATACCGTGAGAAAAGTTTACAAGCTGGACTCAGGACTTGTGTTTCGTCTTCACTGTGCTAATTGCTCCTTATTTCTAGTTGACGTACAGAGACTGGCTGCGGCGAGAACTGGAAATCCTCCCTGGAGCGGATCCCCTGTCAGACACAGAACAGTGAGCACCTTGGGGAGCGGTAGTGTGGCTTTCTGCATCATCTTCAGGAATGTTTCATTACGCCCTCAGCAGATGTGCAGGTTAACAGTAACCTTCCTGCTCAGTTTCAGTTACTTGGTTTTCTTTGCGGGGGGTGTAGCAGGGATTGAACTCAGAACCTATGGTTGCAAGGCAGTTGCAGTGCCACTGAGCTAAATCCCTAGCCCGTTACTTGTTCTTTTATCCAAAAAAACATTTATTGAGCTCCTACCATGTGTCAGCCATTTTCAGAATATTCTAGAAGCGGGCGGGGTGGGGGCAGAGTGAAGGAAGCCTGTCTGGCCAACACCCTTGTACAGAGAAGGCAGGTGTGGCACACCTACCCCTGGGCTTGTGTTGGGAGCTGTGGACCCCCGGGAGATGGATGTAGAAGGAGGGCTTAAGGCGGGGGAGAGTGCTGTGAACATAATACAGGGCCATGAAAGCAAGGGCCAGGTGGTAAGGGTTCCCTGGGGCAGGCTTGAAGTGGGGACACAGGAGCGCAGGCATGGTGGGTCTCAGGGCCAACGGCAGATGGCGAGGCCTGATGTGCAGCTTGGGCATGGGTGAGGAGTGGCAAGCAGTTCCTTGGGTGTGGGGGAGCAGAGCTGAGGCAGAGAGGCCAGTGTGGTCACCACAGAGGTGTGGAGAGTCTGAGGGAAGGTGGCCCTCAGAGGAGCCGCCCCATCCTGTGTGGTCTGAGACCCTCCGCACGTGCACAGTGCTGTCTCCATGTGCTGTGGCCACAGTCACAGGGTCTGGGTGAGGAGAATGAACAGAAGGGAAAGCCTGAGTGGAAGAAAACCTGTTCCTCCCCACCCCCAACAGAGCAGTCTCTTTACCTTCAGGTCTCATAGGGCCAGCCTGCCCAGTAGTTCCTTCCCAGGGTAGAAATCCAGGCCCATGAGCAAGAGGGACACAGGGGAATCATCTTCTAGCCATGCAGGTCGCTGCTGACATGAAACGGTCCAGATGCATTCTGGGATTCCCTTACCCTCAGCCAGATGCAGCGCAGATGGAGACTGCCCCGCCCCTTGTCACCTGGGTCCCAGGTGCTCCTGGCTGAGTGGTTGGGGAGGGTCTCAGTCGGAGTCGGCTTTTCTCACTTAACAGACCACACCAACCGAGTCCTTGAGAGCCTTCCCCCGGGCACGTGCAGTGCTGCCTCGTTCTTTTGCTGCCCGTGGTCAGCTGTGCCCTTGTTTGTTAGGTGACATGGCCTACATCTGTGTGGTTGTCCACTCCGTGCATGGAGTTCATCGTGGGTACAGCCAGTGGCCACCCTGTGGGATGACATCTTGTCTGGGCTTTGGTTGGTGGCAGAGGTCACCCTTGAGATGGTGCCTTTCCTGAGCCCCCAGTGCAGTCACCAGAGATGTGTCATGCCTGCTCGGGGCCTCTGGGGCATGGAGAAGCCCTGCACAAGCGCGTCCCACAACCCACCTTGTTTACTGTTGCAGGCAGGACTTCCACCAGTGGGCGATCCACGAGCACTTCCTCCCTGCACCCTCAGCTGCAGGGGGCTGCAGTGGGGACTTGGAGGTGGCGTGCACGGTTCTCATCGACGTGCTGATGGACTTCTACCAAAGGTCAGCCACGCAGCGCCAGAATGCATTTTTATGACAGTTCTGAGAATGTGCAGTGTTGTTGTTGGTCCGCTGGCAGGGTCTGTGCGATGTGCTCAGGGCAGGCATGCAGCCAGCAGGTTGGGGTGTATAGCTCTGTCCACAAAGCGCCGTCTCTGCTTTGGAGCTGGGGTTCCGGGTGCACAAGTGTGAAGAACAGAAGATGGCCCAGCAGGCACCACACATACAAAGACACAGATTAGGGCGCAGAGCGGTTCTTGAAGCAGCAGGTGGGATGACGAGAAAGGTGCAGCAGTGGCCTGAAGGAGTCACCTCTGGTGCTGTACTTAGGGTTTCTGCTTGGTGATGCAGGCACTGAGGGCGGGGATTGTGTTGTCAAGGGTAGGGTGACAGGTCATATTGCTTTGCGTGTTACACCATCCACATGGTGGTGAGATAGCTCAGCACACACACCTGTTTGTCCCACTGCCGGCTTGTCCCCCTCAAGCGTCTGTGTAGATACCATGAAGTCTTGCAGTGTCTAAGCCCAAGGCGTGTCACTGCCTTTCAGTTATGTTTCTGTGCGGCCCGCATTGTTAGAAGTGCTTCCTGCTGGTGTGCAGGGGCTGGAGCCACACCAGCCAGGCAGAGTGGCTTCGGGTCCATCCCTGTGTCCCCTTGGGCTCCCGAGAGCAGCTCAGGAGGGCTGGCCAGTGTGTGCACTTGGCCCAGCAGTGCATGAGCTGCACCAGCCGCTGGTGTCGCATCCACCTCCTGCTGTGTCATTGCCCGTCCCGGACACATTGTCTAAGTGGAACCCTCTCATTTGCCCCATTTGTATCTGGGTTCTTTCACTGAGCAAAATGCTTTGAGTTGCAGTGCAGGTCAGCACTTCCTTCTATGGCTACACACACTCTGAAGGGCAGGCCTTGTTTTGGTGGCTGTGCGGCCATCGATGGGTGTCTGCGTTGTTTCCGATTGTTGCCTGTTTTGAATAGTGTTGCTGTGCACATCTGTGCCTAAGTTTGTGTGGGCCTGTGCTCTCTTCGGGGGACTGTGCGTAGAAGTGGGGCTCCTGGGCTGTACGTAACTTGGTTCCCAGAGCTGCTGCCCTGCTCTCCAGTCCTGCCCACCATCACTGCACTGTCTTCCGACTGCTTGACGAGAGCTGTCCTAGTTGGTGTGGATTGCCGTGCTAGTTCTTTGTGTGTGTTTTTTTAATATTAATGTGTTTCAATTCATTTTTATTTTCTTTCTTTTTGGTACCGGGAATCAAACTTGGGACCTCGTTCTTGCAGTGCAGGTGGCAAAACCACTGAACTAAATCCCCAGCCCTGTTACCTTCTGGTTTTGATTCACACTTTCCAGAGGATTACTGACACTGAACATCTTCTCATGTGCTGCAGACCGTTCATGTAGTCTGTGGAGAAATGTCTGGTCACATCCTTTGCTGTTTTTTTTGTAGAACCTCACACATACTAGGCCATCCCAGCCCCCTTGTCCCACTTTAAAACCGGGCTGTCTGACGGAGTTGTATGGACCCTGTGTCACAGGTGTAAGCTCTCAGCAGTACGTGGCTGGCGAATACACCCTCCCATTCTGTGACTTGTCTTCTCACTGTCTTGATAATGTCACCTTATACACAAAATTTTCAATGCATCTGTTTTTAGTTTTAACGCATATTTTAAGTTTTGCCCATTTTGTGTTACTCTGGGTATATTGTAAGATAGGGATCTAATTTCATTTTTTTGCACGTGGCTGCCCATTTGTCTTACAACCATTTTTTGAAAAGATTCTTTCCTCACTGAAGGGTCTTGGCACACTCATCAAAAATCAGGCAACCAGGCCGGGTGTGGTTGCGCACGCCTGTAATCCCAGCCCTCGGGAGGCTGAGGCAGGAGGATCGCTGTGAGTTTGAGATCAGCCTGGACTACGTAGTGAATTCCAGGTCAGTCTCAACTACATAGTGAAACCCTGTCTCGAAAAAAACCAAAAAAAAAAAAAGAAGAAGGCCTTGGGTTCTATCCATCGTACTATTTTTTTTAAAAAGTTGAGCTTTCAGTTCAGCTTTCGTGTGAAGACTTGTTTCTGAACTATCAACTGTACCCATTGCTTGCTTTGTCCACTTGTGTGCCAGTTGTGCACCCTTTTGGTGTTTTTGTTTCCTTTTAATGAGCAGCCACAGAAGGCCAAGGCACAGGCATGTTCACACGCACCTGGGGGGCGTGAGGCACAGTGGCTGGCGGCCTCCCCACTGACCCCGACACCCTGAGCCCCACACTGCGAGGGCAGGCCGGATTCCAAGGGGCCCAGGGACAGGACAGCCATGAACGTCTGCCCTCACCGGCACGGCTCAGGCCCAGCCCAGGAGAGCGCTTACACCCCACATTGGTCACATGCGGCATCCTTTCGATTTCTATAGCTTTGTAGCAAGTTTTGAAATCAGGAAATACATGCGTCGTCTAACTTTGTTCATTTTATTTTATAAGTTTATGTTATAATTTATTTTATAAATCTGTAATTCAGGCTGGCCTGGCCTTGCACTTGCCGCAGTTCTCCTCGGCTCCCTGAGTGCTGGGGTTACAGGCGTGCGTCGCCATGCCCAACAGTTTTGTTCCTTTTAAATATTGATTTGGAGTTCCGTTTGGTGGTGCATGAGGAATGCCCGCTGCTCAAGAGGCTGAGGCAGGAAGATGATAACTTTGAAGCCAGTCTGGGCAAATTTAGCAAGACCCTGTCTCAAAAAAAAAGGGTTGGGGGAGCCACAGCAAGGGTATAGCTCAGGGGTAGAGCACTTGCCTGCTGTGCACAAAGCCCCAGTACTAAGGAAAGAAGAAGAAAAACATGGAGGGTTCTGTGTAGTTCCATGTGAACTTTAGGGTTAGCTTGTCAATTTCTACACAGCCAGCGGGGACCCTGATAGAGACTGTAGTATTTCATCGAAAATCACTTGGGAGGTGTTGCCATTTCAATAATATCAAGTCTTTCTGTCCATGAGCATGGAATGTTTGCATTCTGCAGCCAGCCTGCCTTTTCTTTCTTTCTCTTTCTTCCTTCCTTCCTTCCTTTCTTTCTTTTTCTTTCTTTCTGTTTTTTGAGTCAGGGTCTCACTATGTAGTTGAGACTGACCTGGAACTCACTATGTAGCCCAGGCTGGTCTCGAACTCGCAGTGATCCTCCTGCCTCAGCCTCCCGAGTGCTGGAATTACAGGCATGCGCCACCATGCCCCACTACTTCTTTAATTTTTTTCAACAGTATTTTACAGTTTTTAGTGTGTAAGTTACACTTCCTTGGTTAAATTTATTCCTATTTTTTTCATTATTATTATAAATGGAATTATTTATTACCCAAGTTTTTATATTAATTCATATTGAAACACTACCAGTTTTTGCCTTCGATTTGTGAAACATCCACTTATTATTATTTTTAAAATATAATTAATTTTTTGTGGCAGTACTGAGAATTAAACCCAGGGCCTTTGTGCTGAGCTACATTCCCAGCCTTTTTCTTTTTCTTCTTTCAATTTTGTAGTTTTTGCTAACTTGTGATCCTCACTCTGAAATTTGATCTTCCTGCCTCAGCCTCACCATGCCTGGTTCAAGAGCTGTTGGATTATAATATGTGTTTTGTGTGCCTTCTTCAGGTACGTGTGTAAGCTCACGCCATCTATGAGTAGAGAGAGTATAACTTCTTCCTTCTGAGACTGGATGCCTGTTATCTTCTGATTGAACTGCCCCAACTAGGGCTTGTAGTGCAGTGTTGAACAGAGGTAGTGACAGAGGATGTCTTGGCCTTGTCCCTGTGGGGGGAAGAGCTCTTTTGTTTTGTATAGTTCAATGTGATGCTGGCTATGGTTTTTTCATGTGGGTGCCTCACGTTCCTCATTTATTGAGTGATTTTATCACAGTAGGGCATAAAATTTTTCTTTAGCACTTCTTTTGCATTCATTGATGTGATCATGTGGTTTGTTTTTTGGGTTTTTTTTTCCGGTTTTGGGGGTTTTTTTGGTACTGGGGATCAAACTTGAGACCATGTGCTTGCAAGGCAGGTGGTGGCACCACTGAGCTAAAACCCCAGCCTTGTTTTTGGTTTTTTTGAGACCAGGGTCTCATTATGTAGTTCAGACGGGCCTTGAACTCACTGTGTAGCCCAGGCTGGCCTGGAACTCACAGCCATCCTGCTGCCTCCTCTCGAGTGCTGGGATTACAGGTGTGCATCACCACGCCCAGCAATCCTGTGGTTTTTTGTATTATAGTGGTCAAGTTTTGGATACTAAACCGAAAAGCTTCGCTGGGTTGAGGCTGGAGCACTGTGGGTTCCACTGCCCTTGCTGGCTGCTGCTGCGGCAGGAAGGTGACAGGGCACACTGAGTGGCCTCCTCTTTGTTTCCTTGCAGTCCAAGGAGCTGTGACCACACAGAGAGTCCCAACTGGGCCTATGGTGGCCGCAAAGGCAATGGGGATCTGCTCTGCAGGCTGCAGGTGAGTTAGAGGATGCAAGGCCTCAGGCTGTCCACTGCATCGAGTCGTCCGCTGCTAAGTTCATGACACATTTCCATAATGGCTCCCAGTCCCGCCAAGAGTGTGGAGACTCCTTGTCTCACTCCAAGGTTGAGGTCCTGAGCAGCAGCGTGCGGCAGGTGATTTGTACCACAGGCAAACATCACAAAATCCCAGGCATGAAATCATGGTGCCTACTCTCTACAGGCATTGTGAGGGATGCCAGCTGTGCGGTAGAACTGCTGAGTCCCCAGTAACACTCCCAAGGTTGCACTGGACAACAGGCTCTGAGAAGTGCTATCCAGGGCCCGAGAGCACTTGGAGACTGGAGGCTCTGCAAAGTCACCAGCGTGCAAAAGGGGCACTGTGCCCTCAGGACCCACAGCATGCACCTCCACTTCGCACTTCTGAGAGTGCACTGGGGGCCCTTGGGAGTCGGGGGCGTGCAGGGGGAAGCCTCCCTCCAACCTCTGTGTCTCTGCACTGATTGTTTCCTCGGGGTGTGTGTGGTTTAATCTGACATTACCCTACATGTGGGCTCCACACTGCTGTTCTTCAAAGTCCTTAGGAAGGTGGCAATGAAAGAGAGCCAAGGGTGAGGCCCAGGGAAATCTTACAGATCAAAGCAACACTGCAGAGAAAGACACCAGGGTTCCCTGCTCATAATGACCTTTGTGCTCACGCCACTGTCCCTGGACATCAAACAGAAGTGAGCCAGGGAGATGGTGATTTGTGCAGGGTCTCGAGGGTTACAGACGGTACAAAGTGTGTTCTGGACAGGACTTGTGTGCGCACCTTTGGTCTGCATTTATTGGGTACCTGCTGTGTACGTGCCGTCCTGTGCCAGGCCCCTGCCTGTCCCTGTCCCTTGTGTCACAGGGGACACAGTGCTGTCTGGTTTATTCCCTGCTTGGTGCTGGCCCTCAGCACACCTGCAGCCCCAGGCACGAGCTCAGTGCTGGGTCTTCTCCATCTCACCTGCACTCCCACCTGATAGTCCTGTGGTGCAGAACTGGATGCGTCAGCTCAGATGCTGAACATCACAAAGCCAGGTAGGAGCTGGGAGGGAGCTAGGTATAGTAGCTCACACGTGTAATCCCGACTGCTCAGGAGGCTGAGGCAGGAGAACGGGAGAGGAGACTAAGGTGAGAGAGGGTGATGCAGAGAAGCCCACCCCAGGGCCAACGTCAGTGGCATTTGTGAGGAGGGTACTCACTCCCAGTCCAGACTGCAAGTCAGGCCTGTTCTTGGAGAAGTATTTGCTAGTACGGACTTACAAGAGTAAGGCACAAAAGCTAGACATGGTTCAAGATTCACTATTACTTTCAGAAGACTGAGGATGCTTTGGCATTGAAGAATGTCAGTGTCATGAAAAAGTCTGTGGAAATGTTCCAATGCTCACCCAGCTGTGGCTACACAGAAGGTGGCTGTGTCATGCCGGTGCCCTCAGCCCCAGGCCTGAGACTGTGCACTCCGAGTGGCAGGCTCCAGAGCATGTGTGCTGGTTCATCTCTATGTCCCTACACACACACACACACACCCTGTATACACAAGGGAACCGAGTGGCAATGTGTGAAATGTTGGCCTAGCAGAATGTGAGAAACTGTGTCCACGTTTCTTGCCCTGTTGTTTTTTATCATTTAAAATGATTTCTAGCAAAATGCCCGTCATCCTCGTAGTGCCCATGGTGACCTGTCTCCCAAGCCCATCTCTCTGGGTCTGGCCAACATTAAGCCCTGAGGACTTTCTGCCTTCATTCTTGAGGACAAAAGACACACTTGGAAACCAGGAAAAGGGTGTGAGTGCCTGGTTTACTCTCTTCCAGGAGATGGCTGCTGACCTGGAGCTCGGCTCTCCTGTCTCTCAGGGACACTTTGTCTTCGGGGTGTTCCAAAGACGGCTCAAGGCCCTGACCAGTAGGAGAGGTGTGGCTGCCAGCCTTTGGAGACAGCAGGAGCTGCTCATGTGCAAACGGTGGGTCCCGGGCCCACCCAGTGATGTGCCCCAGAAGTCATCTCTTTTTGATTTCTTCCTGGGTGCTTGTCTCCTTGAGGTTGCCACAGGGAGTGGTCCTGGCGGCAGGAGAGGGGCTCTGCGTTTAGGCTCTCTGACTTGTCCTCAGGAATTCCTGTTGAAGGATGTATTGTAAAGCGCTCAAGTCAAAATCAGAAAAACTGCTCAAAGGTGTCCACCAAGCTGATTTCATAGAATGTGAGATGACTGGATCTGCAGGTGCAGGGATGGCTTCACTGGCCATGGTGCCTCCTGCCTCGTGGATCATTAAAAGGCACTTTGGGGAGCTCACTTTGAGTCCTTGTGGCAGCCTCCATGACTCAGAGAATGCAGCGGAGGGCCCTGGGGACCAGGACTCCGGTTCTGACAGGGTCGAGGGTCACAGGGAGCTGGGGAAAGTGTGCAGGGTGTTCTGTGGCCTCACTGCTGTCACGCCCCTTCCTTCCCAGGCTGCTCCTCCGCCTGCCTCCCTCTGTTCTGCTTGGCAACCTACAGGCTGAGGAGCCCAGCTGTGAGGACTTCTTCAACCTGGTCAACTCTGAGCTGGTGGGTGCTGTGCGGGTGGCCACGGGGCTGGGGAGGACATCTCCCCAGGTCTGTGAGTGTGGGCTCCTGGGGAAAAGAAGCCATGGGGACAATGCTCAGAGTCCTTTGCCCACAGCCCAGCCTGGATGCCGGCAAGCCACAGCACTGGGCTGGGCCAGGCCTAGGACTCACGGAATCACCCTAGGGTTTTAATGCTTTCGACTGGGGGCATTTTGCTAGCCACCTCACCACTTTCCAGTTCTGATATATAGTAGATGCTGCCTGTGTAACGAGCATCACAACCTTAACCAGCAAAAACTTTGCTGTCGGGGATGTGCATGTCACCAGGGAAATGCACCTAGAAAACTTTTTCCTGTTTTCAAAAATCTACAAGTATAGGGGCTGGGGGCACCACACCTGCCTTGCAAGTGCAGGATCCTGAATTTGATCCCCAGTACCCCCTGCCCAAAAATCTACATGTATAGAAGGGTGTGGTGGGGGTAGGCCTGTTATCCCAGCACTCTTGGAGGCTGAGGCAGGAGGATCTAAAGTTTGAGCCCAGCTGGAGTGATTTATCATGACTGTCTCAAATATATATAATATAAAATATAAAATAAAAATGAGCTAGGGTTGTAGCTCTGTGTGCAGGCCCTGCATTCAATTTTCAAGCACAAGTATGACTAGAGCCAGAGCTCGGGCTGCACTCCAGCTGTGTAGGCAGCACTGGAGCGGTTTGCAGGAAAGCAGAGGCGATGAGATCAGTGAAAGCATTGGAATTCAACCCTGAGTCTGTATTCTCCCCGACAGCTCTTTCTCTCAACGCTCGGAATGGGCAGTGTAAGTGCTCTGGTGCGAGCATAAAGCATGGTGCTCGTAAGCAGAGGCCTACGGCATGACAGCTGTCCTATTTGGGCACCTGCAGCCCTGTCTGTGGGCGGGAGGGTGGGGTGGGGAGGCCGTGGGCTCAGCAGCTCTGGTCAGGGCTGGAGGCCAAGTGTTCCTGGTGGCTGCCTATCTCTGGCGGAGCTTCTGGAACCCTGGAGCACACTGCTGCTGGCTCACCCCTCACCCTGCCGGG